GGCGCGGCCTTTGGATCCCGCCGGGAGAGCCCATGGCACAGACGGTTGGGCTGCTGCCCGCCTGGCACAGAAACACCTTCAGGACAAGGGCAGCAAAGCACCAAAGTCCTCCAGGACTTGGCTGCGTGCTCTGCTTTCCACCAACACCCAGGTGGAGATAAAGTCACGTTTTCCAAAGGTGCCACCAGCCCAGAAAGCACCAGCAAACACCAGTGCTCCAAGGAGGAGAAGGCAGGATGGTTCCTCCTGCCGCCAACAGGTCTCCTGGCAGGACAAGCCCGAGGTCCAGCACGACAGGCTCCCGACACTGCTTATCCAGGCCAGAGACCTGATCCCAGCTGGACTCTGCCCACCATGAGATGGCCTGGGATGTCTGAATGGGAAGAGACGGGAAGCATGGGCTAGGGCAGGGATGAGAGGAACGTAATCAGGGCTGGAGCTGCCAGCGGGGTTAAGAGCTGCGGGTTTATCAAACACAATATCCCCCCGCAGCCCCCCCCGGAATATAAAGGGAGTGAAACAGAAGCTGTGCGGGAGATAAGGCGGCAGCACCCGGTAGCTCATATGGAATTACTGCAGTGACCTTGAGCAAGAGGCGGCCAGGTGGGAGAAGGACACACGGCTGCGGGGCCAGGTCCCCATCGCCCGCGGCCCGGCGCGGGGGACTGCGGGGGCGACGCGGGGGCGGCGCGGGGGGCGAAGAGGAACGGCGTGGAGGGAGAGCTGGAGGGATGGGGGGACTGCAGCGGGGGCAGAGGGGTCTGGCGACAGAAGTGGCGGCCCGGAGAGGGGATTACAGCTCCATCCCTGATCAGGTGCAGGGCTGGGAGAAGCAGCGCCCGCCATGGAGGAGGGAGCGGCGGGGAACGGCTCCCGCAGAGCCCTCGGCCGCGCTGCCGGCTCCTGCACCCGCCCGGATCCCGCTCCCCCTCCCGCAGCCGCCGCGGGGCCCCGACCCCGGCCCGGGAGGCGTCACAGCACCGAGCTGCCCACCGGGGCCCGTCATCCCCCGCAGCCCGCGATGCTCCGACGTCCAGAACCTTCCTCCTCCTCCTCCTCCTCCTTTCCCTCCCCCCGCATCATCTCGGCTGCCGGGGCGCACGGCCCCGCTTACCTGCGCGGTGCCGCCGCCGGTGCCGCCGGGGAGCGCGGGTGGAGGCGGCCGCAGCCGCCCGCTCCTGCTGCGCGCCGCCGAGTTGCCGGGCTGGCTGGGCAGGTCCCGGCGGCAGGTCCCGGATTAACCCCTTCGGGGCCGCCCGGGCAGCGGCCGAGGCGCTCAGAGACCCCCCCCGGCCCCCCCGGTGCGGTGCGGCGCAGCGCGGTGCGGTACCGGCCGCGGGGGATGCGGCGCCGAGCCCCTGCCCCGCCGCATGCGGGAGGCGGGGATGCTGTAAATGCTCAGTCACTGCCCCTCGCTGGCAGCCAGCCAGGCGCTGCTCGCTGCTGCTGCCTTGCTCGCCTGTATTTTTTTTTTTTCCCTCCTCCCCCCATTATTTTTAGACAGAAATCCACGTCCACGGGCGCAGAAGCAGCTGCGAGGGATGCCGACCCTCCCCACCACGCAGCTCCCTCTCTGCTACCCAAGGCCACGCTAGCAATTTGGGTTATTTAAATTATTATTCTTTTTTTTTTTTTTTTTTTGCTAGGATCTAAATTTGGAGCAGATTCTTCCCCTGCTCTGAGCAGCTCCCAGAGCCTGGCTGGGGGGAGAGAGGGAGGCATCAGATGACATGACAAAATAAGTCATGTCTCTCGATCATTTCAATGCCACCCCCTCTCTCTCCCGGCCTCTGCCTTCCATTTTAATCACTGACAGCCCTTCAAGTATTATGGATATATATAATCTATTTAATATCACTGACATTTTCCATGATGGAAAGCATCTTGGGGGTGCTGAGACATTTGGGAGGGGGATCATGCCTTCCTGCTGGTGCTCCCGCCACACAGAGCACAGCTGAGATCTGTCTTGCCCCAAGGTCCTGCCTTGGGTCCCAGAGGGAAGCCACATGCCTCCAGGGCTTTGCAGATCTGAGCAACCTGACAGTTCCCAACAAGCTCTGGCTGAATAAACATCTAGTGCCTCTTCCAGCTGCAGCCTGGGAGAAGAGCACATCCAGCATCCAAACCATTCCCAGATCATCCCCGAGAACATCCCAGCTCGGGCAGTGGGAAGCAGTCTCTGTGGCAGCCCAAGATCCAGGCTTTCCTCTTCCTCCATTCCCAACACTCCTGATTCACTGTGTCAGATGGTGAGGCAGACAGCTTGCTCTTCTTCAGACACTGATTTTTTTACAAGCAAAGTGAACCTCTCTGTGCAGAAAACACCCTACGAGCTGTTTTCAGAGCTGTACAAACGTGGGGTTTCTTTGCTGGGGCCCACAATCCTGCCGTGGGAAGTGGGACCCAGCAAGGCACTGCCTGCCCTCAGCACAGCCTGACTGCTCACCCAGACCCCCTCAGCCATTGAGAAATGCACTGTCACCTTCTGCTTGCAGCATTTTCCTAGAACTCCCCCTCTTTCCGGGCTCTCTGGTGATGTCTTCAGGCCCCCACTCACGTGATGGGTTTGGTATGCAACTCCCAAGGCCAGGAAGGTCGCTCACCTCACCTTGGTTATTTAGCAAACACAACACAAATTATTAACACTAATACAAATACTGCCCACGTCTGGGAGAGGAGAAGGAATACTCTCCTTGCCTGGTTGCAAGGGCTCGGCCTTACACAGTCCTTCAGAGCACAGGGCTGACAGCCCTGAGGGTCCCTGCACTGATGACAGAGCCCAAGTCTCACAACAGGCCTGTAATGAGGGGACATATTTCTAAAGCTGTTCTGTGGAAGGCAGCTCTAATTCCACTGCAGTTCCAGTCGTGTAACTTCCACAAATCAATGCAAAAGGAAATAAAAAAAAAAAAAAAAGAAGAAAGCAGCTGGCTCAGAGAAAGCTGCAGCAGCCAGACAGCAGACAGCAGAGTATCACAGTTGTTGGCCCACACATCCCTTCCTGCACGCTGCTTGTACCTTGTCCCCTGAGGACACTCTTGTCCAAAGCTGGAAGAGGCACTGACATTATTTATGTCAAAAATTATGACAAAAAATTAGACTATTCACAGGTTTGTTCTCCTTTGCAGAGCTCTAACACCACCAACCTGCCCTGTGCCACCAGGCTTCTCCCTTGGAAGGGAAGGAGATGCCAGCACAGGACATTCTTCCATTGTACGTGACTGATGCAAAACTCCCATCTACCTGGTGTCATATTAACAGATTTTCCTGTGGGTAGAATAATACATGCAGCCTGGTTTCCATAGGCTGGACTGGAGATATGGATCCATGGAGACGTGGATCCATGGAGACATGGATGGGCTTTGCCATCCTTTAACGTAAAGCTACCACATGAAAGGATTCCTGCCTCCGAGACAATCACGTTGCCTCTAGAACGTGCAGACTCCCTCTTGTCTAGAAACAGATGGCTTGAGCAGTTTGAGTTGGGCAGATTCACAAGCTGATAATCATCTCCAGGGAGGCAGGAGCTATTGTCAGAGCCTGTGAGACACACCCCAACTTCAGGCCTTTTTCCTCCTAATTCTCCAAATGTTGCTGAAATTCTCACTCCAGGAATGCTGAGCAGAGACATTCCCTTTTGTGGGTCTGTGCCCGCTAAGCCAGAGGAGGCTCCTGCTGCCAAAGAAGCCAAAATGCTTCCCCACGCTCCACTAAGAGAAAACATCTCAAAACATGAGGGGCCTTACCTGACCAGCGAAAAAAATAAGCTGTGCTTTGCCAAGGCACTGCCAGGAGCCAAGAGGAAGAATATATTCTCTCCTCAGACAGCACAGGAGCTAAAATGAGAAAGCAAAAGACACCATTTCTGCAGAAGGCACAGTTATTTCACGCTCTGTGCAGCTCCAGACTGTGTCAGTGTGGCTGCCAAAGGACAGGAGCACGTTCCTGAGGTGCACGCGCCCGGTGCCAGGCGCAGTGACACGCACAATTCGTAACAGCAGTGCTCAGCACGGATATGCATCTGCTGCCTAAGAACTCCAGAGGTATCACAAACCTCAATTAATGATCTACACTGATGTCATTGCTCTCCAGGGCCAAAGCCTTTCCCGGGAATGCTGTCCGGCTGCTTTGGCAGGAAGGCGGCACTTTTACCCACATGACACAGGTCTCTCGATGCTGGGTCAAGACTGACCCCACAATCAGCTCACTCTGTCTTGGGAACCTGCTCCCACTGAAGCCCAGCGTGCCACACTCAGGCCTGGGATGCCTCCACAAAAAGCTCTATTCCAGCTGTGATGCACAAGGAAACCTAGACATAAAGCAGTGAGGGACCCAGATGCACAGGCAGATGGACAGACAGGAGGGGTGGCTCTAACACGAGGCCTTATCGTGCTCACAACATTTATAGCACAAATTTCACTCACTTAATTCAAGAGTGATTACATTTGGAAGGAAACAAGTAAGAGCTGGCTCAAAATGGGGCTGGATGGAAAGAAATGGCAAGATCAGCACAAGGTGGAAATTAATGGGTAAAAAACCAGGCAGGTTGGCACATCCCTTGGGATAGTGCTTTTACTGGGATCCAGAATGCCTCAGAGAAGCCTGCTGTCAGCAAGTCCCAAGGGGAGACTGGACAAGCAGACAAGAATATGATCAAAAATGGGATGGATTTGCCTAAGTTACTTTCCTTGTACCAATGCTCTTGAGTACAAAAGGACACCCTGCTCACTCACCTGCATCCAAGCACAATTGACAAAAAACCGCCCATATCTCATGTTGACTGGCACTTTTAAATTCTTCTTCCTTAGCAGAAATGCCAGTATTTTCTAGTCCTAACGTTTTCTGAGGCAGTGATATTTCTTGCCTTGTCTCTTCTTGGCAAGTGATCATCTGTAGCAGTAACAGATGATCCAGCAACAGTCCCACATCACAGCATGTCAGAAAAGAGGCAGCCCAGTATTTGTAATCACTGAATCACTTCAGAAAGAATCTCCACTCAATCTGTGTAAATACAGTTATTTATTTTTTTTAAAGCAAGTCTATTTCTACATGCAAAGGGTTTCAGCTCTCCCACTGCAGAGCATGTTATTGCTTTAGATCCTCAAATAAAGACACCATTTCACTCACCATTGAATCCAGCAGCTTGTAAACCTGCAGCAGAAATTAAGAGAAGACAGTTGCAGTGAAAACACACTGAGAAACCCTGAGGATGAGACTGACAGAGACAGTTTCTCACGCTGCAGTACATTATCATATGGGCACACACACAACCACACAGAAGTGGCAGCCTGCTAACAGAGCTCCAGTAATAACTTCTCTGGCTATGAAGTGTGTTTAACATTATCTGAGGTACAATTAATTCAGCTGATCCCTCAAGAGTCCACAAGCATGCTAAAGACATCCCAGATAGAAGTCCCGCATGTGGCTATGTGATGGCTGGATCTCTGCTAACAGATTCCGGGCTGGAATAAAGGGCATCTTAATTTGGATTTCACACTTACCTTGCTGCAGCACGAGGGACATATGTCTGTCAGTTTTCTGAGTTTACAAAAATGTTTCCCTCTCCCCCTGAGCCTCAGCATAACTTACAAGCAAAGAACAAAGCCAAGAAACTAAAACACATGCTTTGGTCAGACTCACTTCAATATAGAGTTTTTCCTGGTATATTCCAAATGAAACAGAGTCCACCTGCTCTTGAGGAGGTTCTACTCCCTCTGCAGTTACAGCTCCCTCTTTCTCCTTCAGTGATGAAGCGGCAGATACCCGCTTCTCATCTTTTACTTTTGGGGGCTCTGCTCCCTCTTTCACCTTCACTGATGCAATGGAAGATGACCGCTTCTCATCTTTCACTTTCATCTTTCTGCTGCCTGGATGTTCCTAATCAGGGACAGACCAAGAAAAAAAGGGACATGGGTCAGAACACCACTCAGGCTGTTGCTAGATAACCCTCCCAGGAGCAGCACCTCTCACTCAGGGTTAGAAATCAGCTCAGACTCAGGATACACAACCTCAGAATTGTTCACACTGTGCCCCGCACTCAGGGCTCACCAGGCATCCCAACACATACCGCTTTCTCTTTCCCTGATGTTGCTCTACTTTTTTTGCCTTCTTTATCCTTTTTCTCTTCTTTCTTAGTAGCTATCTTGTCTTCCTTTCCTTCCTTTTTTTCTCCTCCTTGCTTTACTTCCTCTATGAAAGAAAATATGTCAATTACCCAAAGGCATCCACACATCCAGAAAGACCAGCCCACTGCACTAACACAGTGGGAGTGTATTACTTTTGCAACGTACTTCCCTCTTTTTATTAATCTGAGCTGTACTGCACTGAAAAACAATACCTTGAAGAGTACTTTGTTTAAATAAGGAATGAAGAGGTCTCAGATGTGTATCAGAACAAGCCTGTAAGACAGCTAATAGTGAGGCAGTGTTTGCTGGGTCAGTCTGTGTGAAAACCACAGCTACACGTAGCTGAATTAAAAGGCTTTTTTGTGAGGTGGTTTTTTACTGATGCCAAACCACAGATCACAATTAGTACTGTGACTGTCACACAATCTGCCTTTTTTTTCTGATGCATTTTCTTATAAGAGCTTTGAGGGGGACCTGCTGAAAATGAAATTTCAGTTGAAATTCATCATGTTTGCTGGATTTCCAACAGTCAACAGAAAGCAGCTGCTGTTCTAAAACTACCATTTACCTGTTTCCTCTGGAACACCATCTGCATAGGTGTCTGTGTTAAGCAAGCCATACAGGGATCTCAGCCTCAGAGCGTGACTCACCATATCATCAATTGCTCCCCGCAACAGCTGGAGGCTGAGAAAAGGATCAGGATCAGAAGGGAGACAGTGCAGCAGTTGCCACCTTGTTTTAACCCTGTACCCAGAAGTAGAGGCACCTTACAGCTGAGAGCTGCTCTGTACAACTAAACCAACAAAACAACACCCACTGTCTAAATATCTGGGCAGGGAGACAATAAATTGCTTTCCTCATGTTAGATCCCTCCAAGGTCTAAAAGGTTTGCAAATCAACAGGCTCACAGGGACCCATAAATATTACTGTGAAACTAGGTCTGCTCCTCAACATGACACATGCTGATAAATCAGCATCAACCTGCTCTGTGTTTACCAAGAGGAACCTGCATCCTTCTAATTTAGAAGAAACGAGAAGCTGTTGATATGTTTACAGTCTGAAAGCCTGAGCAAAGAACAGAGAGACTGTATGAGGGAGGAGACAGTTATCTGAGTAAAAGGGTACAGAAAATACCCAAAGGTTTCATAAATACAGACTGGAATAATCTTGCCAGAAATAATCTTGTACACTCTCCAAAATTACAAGCATTTAATTTTCTAAACTTATCTCCAGGAAAAAAAAAAAAAAAAAAAAAAGGCATTTGGGTCCTAGACAGCTGCTACAATTAAGCTATAAAAAAAACAGAGTGTAAAGATGACTTCTAGACCTCATATAATTATCTGCTCTCTGAATCACAACACTTGCAACAGAGCTGGCTGAGGCTGTTGATCAGACAGTGCTTTCACAAGCTTTTTCCTTGCAAAGGTAACACACCAGAGGGGATACAGAAGGTCTGACTGAGCTGGCCTCTGTTCAACACAAAGCTCCAGAGCTGCCTTATTGAGCTGGGTCAGTGCTTCTTCCCGCTGTTCCTCCCTGGGGATTGACATTATGGCCTGTGAGAGAAAAGACAGAGGGTGTGTGGGGCATTTCTCAGGGCTCATTCCCAGTCTGTGGGCCCTGAGCTCAGTGGAGCACACCACAGCTCTCTCTCCCTGGACACCAGCCTGAAACCAGGCTGCACTGGGCACTTACACACACACACACATGTACATTCCTGTACGGCTGGGATTTGGCCAAGGTCCCCAAGATCCCGAGAACAATCCCAGATTCCCCCATCACACTGACAGTAAGCCCCTTTGCAACTTCACAGGTGTGCTGGGGATCAGGGATTCTAGCAAGCTGCAAGGCTCCCTAGCTCAGTTATAAAAGAAACAGATTTCCAAGAGAGCACTACACAAAAACCGCTGACAGAATCCAAACCACTTTTGCTTTAATCTAGGGAGGTCTGTACTTTATCCACAGCCTGTCATGAGTGCCCCCTTAGTTCTCAATGAATAGAAAGGACTCTCCAAGGCAGGGAGCCCTTGGGGGAGCCACGGGAGGCTGTAAGACTAGCCTGCCCCTCCCATTCAGTCCTGGGATGACAGAAAGCTAACGGGAGAAGAGTTTAAAATATCTATTATGTTGTCTGGTTCCCTCTTCTTCTTCACACAACAGTCCACAAAGTCTCTCTTGGGAATCTCTTTACAAGAGCACTGAGGGTGTGGTCAGCAGAGCCAACACACATCATAAATCATCTCTAACTCCCAGGACATAGGCAGCAGACCTTTGGGTGGGCTCCACACTGGGGCAGGCTGGGCTGTTTGAAGGGAAATGAAAACACCATCAGCTTATCACAGCGCCAGTGGGAACAGAGATGACCACCTGTTTAAAGTCCTCAAGGGAAAGGTTCCATCCTGACGGGCCTGCTTCTTCCTCCTCAATGCTCCTCTTTCGCCTCGGAGCCTCCTCTAGTGAGTTCTTCCCAGCTGGGAGCTCCATGGTGCTGCTCTGAGCAGGGAGAGGCTCCACAGTGCTCTCCTCATACTCTGTGTCCTCCTCTGCAGTGCTCCTCTGGTCCGAGGGAACTTTCTCCTCAAAGGCTGAAGGCACAGTCATGTACTGTCTCCACAGTTCATGCAGCTGCTTCACCACTTGATACTGATAATAAAACTGTGATAACAGGGAAAAAGTAAACAGACATGAGCTTTGCCTTCCTTCTTCAAACCCAACTGTTAAAGCCTCCGTGGCAGACTCTGCCAGCTCCAGAAACCCAGGGATGCACCAGGCCCATGGATCTGCCCTCCCTGCTACTTCAGTGACCCATCAAATAGCAAACATCACCCCGGGATTCTTCCTGTGGAACAACTCTTCCTCGGTGGCATAGGCATCCACAGGAGATGGGGTGCGCTCTGGGGTCCGAACTTGGTCGAGGAGTTCATTGAGACTGTCTTTGACTATAGCAGCACCTTCTCGAGCAGCCAGGTCACTCTGAGGCACCACAGTGAGAGCAGCATGTGTGAGTCCCCATTCCACATACAAACACACAAACAAATTCACTCCCACACCAGTAACCACACGTATACATTACACAGGGTTACAAAGACAAGAATAACTGCAAACCCCACTGAGCCCGGCAGTACTGCCAACAGCTCTCCAAATAAACCCTACAAATCCTCCCTCAAACTGTGCTTTTCAAAGCATAGTGTAATTTTCAATTTATACCTTAAATTATTGCAGTGTTCAACACACAATCCCATCCCCACTAAGTAACTAATGAAATTAATTACCAACAGAAAATTCATTTTTAAAGGGCCAGCATGAACACTTTAGTAGACACAGTCAGGTCTTTAGTAACAACATTACAAAAGACTGCAAAGTTCCTCCATGTTATTTAGCAAACCTGCTCAAGTATGTACAGACGTTCCGTAAATCATCTCACTCTCGGCCCTAATTACACAGCAATAAAAATACCAGTCGTTCACTCCCACCCTTATCCTCTATTTGCATATAAAGTTCAAAGCTCACAGTTACCCAGTCACATGCTTGGTTACCTCCAGTTTCTCTCTGAAGTCAGCCAATTTATCCTCATACACAGCAATTCCCCAAAGGGTCACCTGCAGCAGAGCTCCTCCTAATAACAGAGGATGTGTCCTAAATTCCCAGGGCTCGCTGAAAATGCCTGCTCTCCTTGACTTGAAAAGAAAGGAAAACCTCAGAGTTTCTCCAGGCAAAATTACACCTGAAATAAGAGAGAAAATGCATTGGTCTGCAAGAAGCCACCTGGTTAACTTGACCCTTTTCCAACCCCACCTCAAGTGTTCTATCTCTGTAGGAGACTCTTTCCCCATATTTTAGCAGGTTATCACAGTTCATCCAGCTATTTTTCTCCTTCCAGATTTACTCCCAGTCTCCATGTTACTGAACTGGTGTTATTTCCACTGCTCGCTCCTTCTACAGCAAGCTCAGCTCTCCAGCAGAGGATGGTCCATTTGCCATCAGCAAATTATTCACTTCTCAACATTCCACCCATTTGCACTCAGAGTAGGAGCAACCTCCTTTCCTTCAGGTTTCATGAGAGGGATCTGCCTTGCACAGCTCTTTTGGGATGAGTCAGCTCTGACACCCAGGAGCTCCCTCAGGAGAATCACCCAGCAGTGCCGTGCCATTAGTCAGACTCCACGTCTCAGGAAACTCACAAATACCTGCTCTCTGGCTGAGGTACAAAGGTCTCGTACCTGGTCTGGTATCAAAGTAAAAACATGGCATCCTCCTCCCCTTGGTTTCTCTGGAGGGAATATGCTGGGGAAGCCTCATCCAGCTGTACCAGATGGCAGCTGTGCCATCATTGCTCACCGTCAGGAAGCTTTCGGCCTCCTCACCAGCCAGAGTCTCAAAGGTGAGCCGGGCAGCAACGCCAATTTCATTCTACAAGGGAGAGGAAAAAGCGAACAATTTCGGCTCTATCTGGCAGGATTTATCCTGCATGAAGTCATAGCTCAAATAAAGGGTTGAGCTTTGGTAGGAGAACTTGTAAGGCAGGTCCAGTGAAGTGGTCATTATACAGAGACTGGGAATCTGAGCTCACACCACAGCCAGAGCAAACCCTTCTCTCCCTACATCTCTCCAGACCAAACATAGGGATACTCTATTATGTTCAGAATAAATTCCCCATTCTGTGGCCTGGGAGTGACACTCATTGTGCAGCTGTGACTTGGGAACTCAAACAGGCTTAGCTTGACTAAACAATTAAAATCTCACAATTACCCCAGAAGAAGTCATGCCCTTGATCCAACGAGCAGGCTGGCCACAGAAAACTAAAGATAGACGCTTTTCTTCTTCTGGAACCACATTGCAGGAGTCACTGCTACAGAAAACAAGAGCCAGCATTTTCATGGAGTGAAATTCACTATCAGAGAGGGGAGAACCTGGGATAATTTACAAGGCCCTGTAAGAAATAATCCCAACTAATGCTTTTCCACACACTCATCTCCTCAAGAACAGAGCCTTGCTCCTTAGCCTCAAGGCCTCAAGGCACAAAGATTTCTAAATCTGGTGATTATATTAAAATATGCCTTTTGTTGTGCCCAGTGGAGGTTCCTCTCCATTCTGCCTAAAAACAGCTAAGGGTACCTTTATAGACTGGTGGTACATATCCAAAACTCTTTATTTCTACCACGAAGTAAAGCTTACTTAATCTCTTCAGAAGGGCCGGAACATGGAGAAGCCTCTGCTGAGACAGACGTGAACGGTTGCCCTTTACCAATCACCTCCAGTCCTTCCAGATCCTGGACATACACAAAAATGATCAGCTCAGGATTTCTCTTTTTATAGAGAAAGAAAATTATAATACTAGCCAACTGCACCAACTCGGTCAAGTAAAGTGAAGTGGAGGTATCTTGCTCCTACAATGGTTTTTAGAGGTATATAAGAGGTATATAGAGACTTGGGAAGGAACCAGTTCTGAGTTTCCCAAGAATCCTAGATGACTGCATTCCCCACTACAAATGATGCACGAATGGGAAAAGTCTCCCTCACACACATTTCTCATCCCCAGAGACAGGTTTCAAAGACAAAAAAAAGTGATATTTATTCTGTTTTTAGGAGGAGGCACTACCTGCCTTCAGATTATTTCAGATGTGTGTCTTCCACATGGCTAAAGGTGTCTTCCCTCTATCCCGGGGCACTAAATCAAAGTCCTACACCATTATTTGGCAGTTTTTTTCATGGCCTAGGTCCTGGCAGCTTCATGTTGCTGGTTGGGGTCCTATTCTGAGGCTCTGAGACCACTCCATGCAACACTTTGGGAAGCTACACAATTCCTTCATGGGTGTGGCCCTCTGGAAATGTCAGAACTTCCAAGGAAAGTACTGTGGGGCTAAGTTTTAGATTCCTAATACTTTTTCAGATCCAGTTCTTGGCAATTTTATATTACTCTACTGACAAGAAACAAGAGACACAAAGAATGTCCCTGCTCCTCTGGTCTTACCGGCTTATAAAAACCCATCTCCTCCAGGATAGATTTCAGCTCCTGACGACGATGTTTCAGGAAAAGACTCTTATCCCAGGTTAGATGGCAAGGAATCTTCGTCGGGGGCTTCAGAGCTGTGGAAATACCCGTGCAAGAGCTCACTCTCTACACACTCACGCCTATTAAATTTCACTCTCTGCCCAATTTTGGCCTCGTGGTGTTTTAAAGAGGAGGCTCAGGAGATGACTGGGAAGCAGCTGCTCCCTCCACACCTGTGCCCCGTTTCTGTGGAAACACCTCTCTGCAGTGCTCCCTTACCCGTTTCCTTCTGGACAGTGCGGGGTTTGCCCACATGAGTGATTGGCTCTCGGTCCCCATGTTCTGTCCGAGTCAGTGTCAGCATCAGGCCGGTGAGTTCATCTCCAATACGGTCGGGCTGGCTCCAGAACTCGCTTCCTACTCGGAATCCCTGCGGTGCAAAACAAGGCTCCCACTGATACAGAGTTGCACAGCTACCTTCTACTTTCAGAGGGGCTAGAAAGGATCTGATCCTGCCTATATGAACATTTTAATAGTCCATGAATTATCCCTTTCTGCAGAGCAACCCAAAATTTCTATCAGGCTGCTGTCAAAGACAAAAGATCTTTCTTCTACCTAGTGCTATGTGAAGGTTGAATGATATTAAAATAAAGCCTCACACAAATGCAAATTCTTTGATAGTGCTATAAATGTAAAAAAATTATTTTAACACAGGATCCTCCCATAATCCTCCTGCATTATCCACATCCCTTTCTCCATGGCAATCACTAAAATCCAAGCCTGAATGAATCAGATCTTTCTGCCCTTGGAGCAGCAATTGTGACATGTTCCCGGGTCACCTCCCTGGGCAGGACAGGCTTTGTTGAGAGTCCAGAAATGGCACTTGCTCATCCCCACTTTCCTCTGAGTGGCATGGATAGCACAGTTCATGGTTTTATTTTTAAAGTCCCTGAAAGCTCTGCTCACACACCAGGCTGAAGGACTCGAGAGTGGCTTTGATAAACACCTGCTGAAAGCTCTGCAGGGATGTTACTCATCACACCAGTGTCTGTGCTGTTTCACAAGAGCAGCACATTCAGGACACACAGGAAGTGGGGCTCTCACCTTTCCAGGATGGAGGTAGGGGAGACTCCGGTCAATGAGGTCACTTTCTTCCATGACTTGCCTGTAATTCTCCGCGATGTTCATCATCAATTCATTCTCTGGCTTCCGAAGTATTTCTGTAAAGAGGAAACGTCACATCATTGGTGCTGCACTTCTGGGCACACCCTTTGATACTATTGTTGTTCACCTGTAACCCACCTACACACTGGGCCCTGCCAAATCCACTGTCCTTGCCCCAGCCAGAGCCACCAGCTCACCCTCCCACCACATCTACAGCCACAAGCACGTGTGGGAGCTCTGAGAACATGGAATTAGACTGCAATGGCAATAGGAGTAACCCTGGTAGGTGATGACCACTGCAGTTTGATGTGGGGACATCAAACTCCCCCACCTACACACAGAATTTCACAGAATGAGGCCTCTGCAGCTTGTCTCACCTCCTAGGTGTTTCTCCTGCTTTTTCCTGATTGCCATATGATGGCTCCAGTTCTGGAGAGCTTTGTGCCCTGCTAGTTGGGCCTGAGGAGCCTTTTTCTTCTTCTCTCCTCCATGTTTCTCTTTTAAGGCTGCTGCAGTAACATGCGGACGAGGAACCTCAGTAACATCTGCTGTCTGATGAGAAAGGAAACATTGAATGAACCTCTTCAGGCACACCAAAACAAGAAGGGGTCAGGGCAGGAGAAAAGAATTATTCAGATTGACTTACTTTTACATTAGCACTCTGAGAGGAACAAAAGCAGGGCAGTGGGAACACTCTCAGAGACAACAGAATGATTTATCTGAGTAATTAGACTCCAGCAATGCCATTGCTGCAACCCTGACGCCTTCAGCAGAGCGCAGAGGGAAGAGGAAGCCTGTGTAATTGTTCCCTCTGTGACCTGGTCCTGCACACAGCACTCCAAAACCTGCTGGTGCAGTTTCTCTGATGGCAAACCCTCCCCACAGAGTGTGACGAGGCTGGGAAAACCACACCTCAGGCCTGACCTGCTCCTGATAGGTGCTGGAAAGCATCGAATGGTACTGCTGGCACCACACTCCACCTCTGGAAAAGTGCCACACAGCAGCATTTTCCTAACTTTACAAACCAACCCGAGCGCTTCTTCTGGCCCAGGCTTCCATCTTAAACTCCTGAACACTTCCCAAAATGTGATGAGGGAGAATCTCTTCACAGCCATCAGCAAACTCTTTAGGTCCTACAACACACACACAAAAATACCCAGCCCCAGAGCCAGGTCAGTAAAATCTGGCTTAGCAAAACCAAAACCCAGAGATAAGATGGAAGTTGAACCCTACCAGGAAAAACCAGTGGTTGCCTGGGTGCCTTGGGGGAAGCAGGACATGCTACAAGATGTGTCACCTCCTTGGGTTGGTATTTTCGAACGAGGTAATTCTTCCTAACTGGAACTCTCCCAGCATCATGGGGAAGGCGTGGAGCATGAAGCTGCAGGAAACAAACAGTAACAGCGCAGTTAGGTACACACTGACTCACCTCTAATCCATCCAATGCTTTTAGGATATGCAGAGGTCATATCAGTACAGTTACTGTAAGAGTCCTGGAAAGGAAGTTCTCACAAGGGCCTGGAGCGACATGACAAGGTGGAACGGATTCAAACTAAAAGAATAAGTTTAGATTAGATATTAGGAAGAAATTCTTCTCTGTGAGGGTGGTAAGGCCCTGGCACAGGTTGCCCAGAGAAGCTGTGGCTGCCCCATCCTTGGAAGTGTCCAAGGCCAGGTTGGACGGGGCTGGGAGCAAACTGGGATAGTGGAAGGTGTCCCTGCCCATGGCAGGAACAAGATGAGCTTTAAGGTCCTTCCAACCCAAATCATTCTATGATTCTCTGATTCCTCCCTATGAGGCATGGTATGCAGCTGCAGAGACACCAGCTTAGTTGCTGCCTCATTCCTCTGAACTCTGGTTTATAACAGGGGAAGGGAAAGGAGTTTTAAATCACTTTCCCAAGAGATTTCTGCTCGATGTCAAATGCTTCCACTCACATACTGGGGCTCAAGTTTTGGAAGGAAAGCCATGAAAGCTACTAAACAACTTACAGGTCTTATGAGACCATAAAGTTGGAGAGGCAGATGATTTATCCTTCCAGTTGCAAGTACTGTGTAAGGACTGATAATTCTTTATTTTTTGCCACTGAACCTAATGATGTGACATTTTATCATGATAAAGTGCACGATAGACAAAATGGAGTAAGAACTCAACTGCAGGCGTGAGTTTTGGCTTAAGTAAATGGGCAGCACCCTCTGCTAAACACACAAAAAGAGAGTGACAGTTAAGGCAGCTTTTTCTACCAGTAGAAATACATACTTTCTCCAGGTCCTCCACCTTAATTGCAAGTGCCTGAATATCCTCTCCTTGCAGAACATATGAACCAGGCTCAGGCTCAGGCTCAGGCTCTTCTGAAACTGCTGTACTGAGCCTTCCAGAGGTCTTTTCCTTCTTGCCTGAAATATACATGAAGAGACCTCCTCTTCAGTCTCCCAAGGAAACACCATCTTCCTCTTTCAGCCTGGTTAATCATTTCCAGCTGACCATGTTTTGGTGGTTTTTTTTTTTTTTTTTTTTTTTTTTTTTTTTTTTTTTTAAGGTTTCACAGAACAACTGAATTCAGCATCTCTTGTAATTGGAAAAATCAAACAGAAGCAGCAAGGACCAAAGTGGGTCAAGCAGGATTCAACTGTCTCACCCTTCGTTCTAGATGAGATAAATACAGATAAATAGAGCTCCCTGCAGGAGGAACAACAAATTCCTGGGAAGCTTCCTGCTCCATCTGCTAGTGCAAGGACACAGCCTTCCTACACTCACCCAGCACAACTCGAATAACAAACTACTAGATTTCCAGAAGCTCCTGAATAGCAAAACAGCTCTGAAACAGCCAAACCCCCTTAGCACAGCCGGGCCGGGCCAAGCCGAGGGGATCGCACCGGGGGCTGTTTCTCCCCTTAACATGCGCGTCCCTCCCGCTGGGACCGGCTCATTCAAAAAAACCCAAACTATAATAATAATGACACGGGGGTCCCTGGGTGGGAAGGAGCTGTCTGTGGGGGCTCCACCTCAGGCCTCGCTGAGGCCGCAGGCCCGGCCCGGCCGCTGCTGCCCAGGCGCGCCCCGCGCCGGCCGTACCCGGGGGACTCCGGTTCTGGGACCGACTGGCCCGCTGCGACGCCATGTCCCGCCGAGCCGCCGACCGGGGAACCGGCACCGACACCAACAGAGCCCCCGTGAGTCGCGACAGGTCGCGACGGGTCTCGGAGCCTTCACGACGCCGGGAAGCACCGCCCCCTGGCGGGGCACGGCGGCACCGCCCCGCCCGCCCCCTGCCGGCACGCATGCGCCGTGCGGCCGGGCCGCCGCCACACACCGGGATACCCCGGGATACCGGGACATACCAGGATAGTGGGACACCCAGACACACCGGGTCTCCAGGATACTCGAAGAGTGGAACACCGGGGCGCAGGGACACGGAGACACTGGGCCTCTGGGCACCGGTAGACCAGAGACTCCAGGACAGCGGGCGTTGGGACACTGGGGACACTGGGGCCTGCCCTGCGGGAAACCCCCCTGGGTGATGCCACTGCCCCAAGACCCCTCAGCCAGAACACAGCTCTTGTGTTTTATTATCCATTGTGGCCGCTCACAGCCCCCACATTCTGGCCACCGTGTCCATCCCCCGTGTCCGTCCCCTGCTGGGTTCCCCCTCGGTGGGCACCGGGCAGCGCCCAGCGCCTCTGGAGCTGGCACAGCAGGTCTGGCAGCAGCGAGTCCAGCACGGCCAGGCCGGCCCAGGTGCACCGCAGGCCGCTGTGGGAGAGGTGGTGGTGAGCTCCGGGGAACCGAGGGAGACCCCCCCCTTGCTCCCCACTGGGGTTCCTGGGGCTCACCTGCCATCCAGGAGCAGCCAGCCCTGCTCCTGCAGCGCCCGAGCCTCCCCTGGTACCCCAAACACGGTCTGCAGGCTGAGCTGGGGGGAGAAGTGCCCCCAGCGCTGTGTGCCCAGGGTGAGAGAGGGGTGTTAGTGATAGGGCATCAGTGATGGGTCACTAGTGATGGGGCATCAGCATCCCAGTGCCCCAGGGGTTCCAGGAGAGCTGGAGAGGGACTTTGGACAAGGGTCTGTAGTGACAGGACAAGGGGAACTGGATTCAAACTGGAGGGTAGATTTACTTTAGGTATTAGGGAGAATTCTTCCCTATGAGGCCCTGGCACAGGTGGCCCAGAGAAGCTGTGGCTGCCCCATCCCTGGAAATGCTCAAGGCCACTTCGGATGGTCTTAGAGCAACTTGGTGTTCTAGAAGGTGGCCCTTCCCATGACAGGGGGGGTGGAATAAGATGGTCTTTAAGGTCCCTCCCAACCCAAACCATTCCGTGATTCTATGATTAGTGGTAAGTTGATGTGGGGGACCCCCACAGGTGACTCCTCACCTCATGTGTGACGCCCTCATCAATGCGTAGTCCCAAGGTGAGCAGTTCCTCCAGCCTGTGGGGACACGGAAAGCTGTGGGGCAGCACAGACGGGGAGAGAGTGTGGGGTGGACCCTTCTACTCACTGCTCCAGGGCGCTCAGCACCACCCGACTCCTGGTGCCGTGTCCCTGGCGCCGCACTTCCTGCATCCAGGCAACAGGCTCTGGTGTCTGGACACAGGCTTCCCGGCTGCAGCCATCCTCACCCTTTGGCACGAAGCGCCCGTGAGCTCCTGCAGCAGTGAGAGAGGGGGACAACGGAGTTCAGGGGGCACGTGGCCACACAAACACACCCACCTGGCTCCCCGTCACCCCCTTACCTGGCCCCACACCGATGTACTGGTCAGCCCGCCAGTACGAGAGGTTGTGGTTGCTGAGGGCGCCCTGAGGGGAGAGCGCGGCATGGGGTGAGATGGGGCTGGGCCTGCTTGGGGAGCAGCATGGTGGGGGCACAGCATGGGGGGCACCCCACCTTGCGTGCAAAATTGGAGACCTCGTAGTGGCGGAAGCCAGCAGCCACCAGCACAGTGCGAGCTGTCTGGTACATGTCGGCCAGCAGGTCCTGGGGGGGCAAGGGCAGTTTTCCCCCCCGGACCTGTGTCGCCAGCGCCGTGCCCCGCTCCAGTGTCAGCTGGTACAGGGAGATGTGGTCGTCACAGAGCTCCAGCGCTGCCTCCAGCCGCTGGGCCCAGGCGTCCCTGCTCTGCCCCGGCAGGCCGAACATGAGGTCGATGGAGGTGCGGCCGGGGAAGAGCCCCCGCGCTGCCTCCACGGCCTTCCGTGCCTCCGCCGCCGTGTGCTCCCGGCCCAGCAGCCGCAGCTCGGCGTCGTCCAGCGACTGCGGAGGGAGTGTGGTGACAGTGGGATCACAGGGGGGCTGCAGGGCTGCAGGGGGAGAGCCCTTCTCACCTGGACGCCGATGGAGAGGCGGTTGACGCCAGCTGCCCTGAAGCCAGCGAGGCGAGATGTGTCCGTGGAGCTGGGGTTGGCCTCCAGCGTGACCTCAGCACTGGCGGGCAGATGGGCAGCCCCCGCCACGGCCTCCAGCACCGCTGCGATGGTGCCAGGGCTGGCCAGGCTGGGGGTGCCCCCGCCGAAGAACACAGAGGTGATGCTGTGGGGCAGAGGGTGGGGAGTTGCAGGTGGGCACTGAAGGGCCCCGTACCCTGCCATGTGCCCTTTGTGCACCCACCTGTGCACCTGGCTGAGGCGGAGCAGGGTCTGTGCCTCCCGCACCAGGCAGGCACGCATGGCCACCTCATCCACCGCTGGCACCACGTACGTGTTGAAGTTGCAGTAGGAGCAGCGCTTGCGGCAGTAGGGCCACTGTGGGCACAGGGTTTGTGGAGGTCGGCCATGCCCCCACTCCCAGGCACCCCACTTAGAGGGGGGACAGTCTCAGTCCGGTGCACAGGCCCCGGTACCCCTGACCTGCCCCGTGGGCACAAGGCCCATGATCCATACGTGTGACCCTTCACGTGCACGGCTCAGGGACCCCCTCAGCAACCTGCACCAGTGCGTGGCTGGGAGCCCCACCTGTGCCCCACGACACTGCATGGCCAGGCTGCCCCACCACACGTGTAAGCCCCGGGGTCCCCAGGGTCCCATATGCACCCACAGGTATGCAAGCCCTAAGCCCTCACATTCACCTTCCACCAGTGCAAGCTCCGAGGTCCCATGTGTCCCCCCGACGTGTGCAAGCCCCAGGACCCGCGTGCATCCCCACGTGTACAAACCCGGGGTCCCTCTGTATCCCCTTGTGTGTGAAAGCGCGGTCCCCGTACACTCCACTGTGTGTCAACACAGGTCCCTCCCCCCTTGCGTACGAGCTCCAGGACCCACATGCACCCCCACGAGTGCAAGCCCGGGGTCCCCGCACATACAACAAGCCCCAGTGTTCCCATGTCCCACCCCGTGTCCCCGCTCACGTGCACGTAGAGCGCGGCTGTGGCGGGGGCGGACGGTTCCGGGACCGGCTGCGGGGCCGGTTCCACAGCAGGACCCGGGCCTGGGCCCCGTCCCGGGCCGCCCCCGCCGGGCCGCGCCGCAGCGACCGCCACGGCCGCCCTTCGGTAACCCCGCACCGCCGCCATGGGGCCGGCGGGCCGCGGCACCGCCCGAACCGGGCGAGCACCGAGCGGGGCCGCCCCCGACTGCGCGAGGCCGGGGCGGGGCGAGAGGGAAGGGGAGGGATCGGGGATGGACCCCTGCGCTCCTAACGGGGCCGTCCGGGGGATGCTCGGTGTGAGTGACGGGGATGCCGCGGTCGCTGTACTCCCTCGGTGCCGGGGTCAGTGTCTTCCCCCGGTATCGGGGATGCCGGGCCGGTGTTCTCCCCTGGCACCGGGAGTATCGGCGGATGCCAGGCCGGTGTCTTCTCCCGATGCCAGGAGTGCCGGGGTCAGTGTCCTCTCGCAGTGTCCTCCCCGGACACACGGTCCCGACGAGGCTCGGGCATTCCGCAGCCTGCCCCCACATTCTCCCCTGGCTGCTCCCCGGGGCCGGGAAGGGTTTTCCAGCGTTTCGACGGAGGGAGCCGTCGCTTATCCCCACGCAAGGTTGTGCAAACCCGCTGCTGACGAGCCTCAACGTTATAAGTTCTTAATTTGCTCTATTAATAGCCACGGGGAAGTCCAAAACGTCCATGACAATGGTTGTGACCGCAGATTCTCGTTTCCCGGCCAGGAACGGGTAGTTTTGTGTAACCCACCCCTGAGGCAACTTTTCCGGCTGCCCGGAGTTTCCGAGAAGTCAGTGAGGGCTTATAAGAGCAGGAGCCAGGCACTGTAAGGGCAGAAAGCCATGGATACTGCCGGGAGCCCTGCATACATCGAGGCCATACTACCAGCCATGGAGGCCAACTCTACTGTGAGTATTTACAGCCGGGGCTGCATCATCCCAGAGGCTGGAATGGCCATGGGACATCTCGGCAGGTGTCCTGGCTGGTGAGGGTTGGATGGGCCCCAACGAAGGGATGGGGAAGGTAGGGAAAGCTGCTCCAGCACCAGGCTCTGCTGGGGCTCAGACCCCTGGATGGTCCTGCACCACTCCTGGGACACGAATGGAACTGTGGGGTGCAGGGATGGGGTGGAAGGGGCTGTACCCCCTGTGCTGGCTGGGAGGGTCACTGTTTCTCAGCAGTGTGCCTGCCCTCACCAGCCAGGGCTGACACCACCTTCATTTCTTACCCACTGCCCCCAAACTACAGTGAGCATGTGGGGCACCTCTAGGCAGCACAGGGGTTGTGCCAACGGTGGAGTTACCAAACAGGGATGGGAGGAGGCCTGTCCTGCACCTGGGTTAGTGCTGTGGGAAACAAAGGAAGGTAAAAAGTCCTTCCCTCAACACCAATCACAGGGGTCCACTGCATCCCCAAGGTCACTGGCTGCAGTTGTTGTCATAGAGGTAACAGTTCCTCAGGAAGGAATGTTACAAGGGTCCTAAAACCAGGTCAGGGAGGAGACCTGAGTGAAATGTGGAGGATCAGTGCTGACACCAGCCCCATGAGCACTTTGAGATCGGGGGAGGAACTTGCTGGAAAGACACTGTATAGAAAGGCTCTGACACGAACCATCCATGTTTCTTTCTTTCAGGTAGCAGATACGAGTAGTGAACTTGTCCACTCGTTCTGCTTCCATGGGTAGAGCCCACAGTCCAGCTGGGAGATCAAGGACTGAGACATCGCTGACACTTCCCCTTCCTCCCGTTGCACCATTTCCCTCCACCCACCGGAGGAAGCTGCAGCACTGAGGAGGCCCAACCTTGCCTGCTCGGGGAGGAAACAGGAGGGAGACACCCTGAGTAAGAGCTGTCAGCAACATTATCTGCTTTCCAGCTGGGGTGGGACACTTCTGCTGGCAAGGAAGAGGAGCTCTGCTTTTCCCCTTCTTGCAGGAGTGTTTCATGGTTGGGAGGTACCAAATAACTCCCGTAAAATGCTGTCCCAAGTGCGCTCTGCTTTGCACTACCAACAGGACAGGAATTTTGGTATTTCTGCAAAAACCTTATTGTCTGTTTTGCCCAAAACAACAAAATAAACCATGCCAAATCTACCTCGGAGAATTTTTTTTGGGGGGGAAACACCTGGGGGAGCTATGGGAACAGGGTAAGCTTTTCCAGCCAGCTTTAGGGAGCCCCTTCTCATGCAAAGTTTCATTCTCTGAACCCCCTGCCCCTCATTTCAAGTTCAGTAGCTATTATATGACCCAGGAGTCTCACAACACCCAAGCAGAGAAGGCATCACCTACCCTGGGAAGCCAGGCCAGGGTGTTGGGACTTAAAAAATATCAGTGAAATACCTACCAGCATCTGTTCAGCTCCTCTGAAATGGCTGCAGCCAAACTGCTCAGAGACACACAAGATTTTTAAATCTTCATAAGGTCTTTCAGTAACCGGACAGGATTCCAGAAATAAGCATCCCTTCCTCACACCACAGTATTTGTCCTGGCAAAGAATCAAACCCAACTGTGGAAAAAAGACGTTCTGTTTTATTGACTAAAAGTGCCATCAGCCTGATGTCAGGGAGGGAAGGTCTCCACTGCGTAGCCCAAGGCACAGGTGAAAAGCAGACTCAGAGCTGCTGGTCCTCCAGTTGATTTATCCCAGTTTTTGCTCTGCCTTCCCAATCTCAGAGCTGAAGGTGCTTCTCCATCTGCTCCCTCAACTTGTATTTCTGAATCTGGAATAAAGTGCAGAGAGGAGGAGGGAGAGAGACTCAGGCAGCAGCTGGGATAGGAGGCCAGAGCTCCTTCCCCTGCCCCAGCTCCCTCTTACCTTGCCTGAGACGGTGAGTGGGTACTGGCTCACAAACACAAAATAACGTGGGATCTTGAAATGGGAAATCTGGGAAGAGAAAAACAATGGCTACACAACCCCCTAGGAACAGCACAGCCAGTCCAACAGGCACTGCCAGGGCTGGGTCCCCCAGTGCTCTAAATCCACGTATTTTCATCCACCAGTCCCCAGCAGCTGCTGGGTGTACCGGTCTGTCAGGGAATTGGGAATGGCAGACCCACCTTCCCTTTGCAGAAAGCCTTAATCTCTTCCTCAGTGCAGTCCTGCCCAGCCCTCAGTCGGATGCAGGCACAGATCTCTTCTCCCATCCTCGAATCCTTCACACCAACCACCTGGTTGGGACAGATGGACAGTGTGACCCCCGGGGACAGCGCTGTCCTCTGGCAGGGTGTGTGTGCTGCCCCATACCACTGGATGCTGGAGCCATGGTGTGGGGCTGTGTAAAGGCAGTTTGAGCTGCTTGACCATCCCACTGGGGCTTTCTACACGACATCAAGCCCCTCCTGGAAGGAGTTCCCGAACATTTGCCAGAGGAAAAGTGGCAGAGCAAGCTGAGCACCTGGATGCCAGCACCTTGCTCCTCTGGTTTTGCAAAGTGACTGGAGCGAGGGCTGAGTCAGACCAGACCAGCTCATCGTGCCGGCAACACGGACCTGTTGTCCCTCCGCTTCCCAAAAAATGGGGCAAGAGGTTTCACAACCAACAGAGACTTGGTAGACTGCCATGAGTGCTTTGGGATCTCCAGATGGAGTGGCAGGGGAGGGATGAAGTCGAATTAAGGGATTTTTTGAAACCCTTATAATCGCAGATCTTAGTGGACCCTCACCCTGTGACACCAGGAGATGGGCTTCCCAAGCCTGAGCTCTCTCCAAAGTTTGCTCACACTATTCCACAACAATCCTCCTGTCATTCCCTTCCTTGAACCAGTATCTCAAAATCCTAGAGACACGTCGATCCTTTTGAGTCCAGAGCAGTGACACGAAGCCCTAGAAACCACATAAACAGGGCTGGTTTGCAACCCATCTGCACTGGGACTGTTCCAAGGAGAGATGCTCGCCTGGCACAGGCACAACACTGACTAAATAACCAGTTTATTTATGGGGAAACTTGTCTGGCGCAAAACCTGGAGGAGAACAATTCCAGCAGACTGAGAGCAGCTGCTCAGTGCTGCAAATCATCGCTGTCTTGAGAAGGGGTGAAACAAAGTCTCACTCCTCATCTCCAGGGACTCACCAGAGGAGTCTTTTTGGATGTCAGAGTTGAGTAATTATTAGTAAAAACTGTCCTTCCAGACTGCTTTCCAAGTTAAGAATTTCAGAGGGAGCTCAGTGGACAGGCAGTTTAAAACTGAGGAATGACAGGCACTTTACAGACATGCACCTGGTGCATGAAGGGATTGCTCAAATCAATGTGCCCCACTTCAGGAGCTCTGCCTGCCCCTCCCATGCCATGAGCCTCTCCCTCCTCCTTGCCAACCAATACTACATGGCAGTTGACGCTGAAAAGGGGAAGACAACCAGGTCTCAAGCAGAAATCTCTGCGTACAGGTTTCCCAAAAAATAGCTGCTCACCTACCTCACCTCCCTCCCACTCACCTGGACTT